CCCGCAGCACCGAGCTCTCGGAGGGGTACTGGTACGTAGTCTCTAGGGCTGTCTCGCTGAAGGAGATCTTGAGCTGGGGGTGGGGGGCGAAGGAGGCAGGTCACCCACCTCAGCCCCGTGCAAGGTGGGCGTGGGGCTGGATCTGGGCACCCGCTGCCTTTGCCCTCCTCACCCCTCCGGGACCCAGTTTTCCTTCGATCAGTTTCAAAAACATGAGACTTGGGCCTGCGTTTGGCAGGGGCAGAGGTGAGTAACGCAGGACCAGGGTTCCCAACTCGTAGCGGGCGGGAGGCAGAAGGGTAAGGACAAACTAAAAACGCGGGCATAGTCCTGCGATCAGGACGGGAAGCCTCCCCGAGGTGAGCTTGGAGCTGGCTGGGAGGGGGTCCCAGGGAAAAGCAAGGCAACCCACAGCAGGGCCCCGAGGAACACTCTTCCCTCCACACAGGGGCGTCCCCAGAGGTGCAGCCAGGGAAGGTGACAGGGCAGAGGGGAGAGTCCGGGCAGATGTGGGGGGGCGGGGCTTGGAGAGTGCTCAGAAGGGACAGGCAGACAGGCACAACACCAGACAGGAGAGGGAGGGACAGGCTCCCCATAAACAGCCCGCTCCCCCGCAGCCCTGGGCCCTCCTCAGAAGCTCAGGGGAAGGGAAGGGGCAGCGTGGGGTTAACCCGGAGCAAAAAGCAGGAGGTTGCCCTGACCGGTTTGGCTCAGGGGATAGAGCGTTGGCCTGGGGACTGAAGGGTCCCAGGTTCGATTCCGGTCAAGGGCATGTACCTTGGTTGCGGGCACATCCCCGGTGGGGGGTGTGCAGGAGGCAGCTGATCGATGTTTCTCTCTCATCGATGTTTCTAACTCTCTATCCCTCTCCCTTCCTCTCTGTAAAAAATCAATAAAACTATATATATATATATATATAGCAGGAGGTTCCTGTGAACTCCCTGGAAAGGTCCAGACCTATCGGGCCTTCCCAGCATATGTTTTGAGACACTTGGGGCTGGCTCCCCGCACCCCCGAGCCTCAGCGGACTGGGATGTGAGTAAAGCCTGGAAGGTGGCTGGACAGGAAGTTGCTAACATGGGTCCCCACTGGAGCCTGAAACTCAGGAACTGTCACTCTTGCACTGGCTCCCCATCTCACCGGGACAAAAGCTAGAGCCTGACCAAAGTCTAAGTCTAGGGCAGTGATGGCGAACCTATGACACGCATGTCAGAGGTGACATTCGAACTCATTTTTTTGGTTGATTTTTCTTTTTAAATGGCATTTAAATATATAAAATAAATATCAAAAATATAAGTCTTTGTTTTACTATGGTTGCAAAGATAAAAAAATTTCTATATGTGACACGGCGCCAGAGTTAAGTTAGGGTTTTCAAAATGCTGACACGCCGAGCTCAAAAGGTTCGCCATCACTGGTCTAGAGGATGCTGCCATGGCCACGCCCTCACCTCTGGGCATCCTCCCTCCAGCCACAGGCCCAGGCACTCCCGCGCAGGCCTCGGCGGCTGCCCCCTCTGCCTGGAACACTCTTCTCCCAAACATACCCAATGCCCCTCTCCCAGCCACACATTACAGTCACACCCACTCCCACTCCTCCGGCCTCCAGCTTCCACTCACCCTGCGCTTTACTGCCCTGTGTCTTCTGTCAACAGGAGACTGGGAGATGCTTTACTGGGTAAGGAGGGGTTCATGCAGACCCCAGATGAGGTCCCAGCAGAGGACCAAGGCTGGGGGAGCCCAGCCTGTACACAGTTGACCCGTCTGTGAAATGGCTGATAGAATTGGTGACAGCAACCAGACCCTTTGCATCCAAACTTCTTAAAGGGGCCATCTCTGGTTCTGTGACTGACAGATTTACCCAAACTTCTGGGAACCCACGTCTCTTTTCTTTTCATGTCCCCCTTCGGGGACGAGCTCTGCAGTGTGTTAGACACGCTGAAAAGGGGCTCATTTTTTTTGCTTTCAGTCCATGTTTGACTCTCTCCACACTGCTTCCCTCCCCCAACCCCAACTTCTGACTGGGCTTCCCAGGAATGTACAGCCTGCACGGGAGGGGGTGCAGAGGGGTGACTCACTGGCTCCTCATCAGCTATATAAGGTCCGGAGGGGGCTGGAGAGGGAGGGGCTCTGGGCCCGGGGCAAGCCTGGGGCTCCTCTGAATAAGGCTGGTGGAATTGGCCTGCAGATGTTACTTAGGGAAGGAGGCGGGCGGTGGGTGCTCCTATCCCTGAACTAGGGGGCAGAGCTGGGACAGGGATGCTAGCCCCTCATGAGCCTGAAAGGGCGAGGGGGAGGCCTGTGGTCCGCAGAGCGCTGCTCCGCCCCACCCCCACCCCGCTCTGCTTCCTCCTCTCACCACATCCTGAGTGGTGCTGGCAGGCAGGGCAGCGTCCCCACTCGGCCCCACCGCCTTCCGGCCCCCACCCCAGGCTTCCTGTTTGGGTGATCTGCTTCCGGCTCCCAGATCCCTGACCCAGGTATGGTCACCACCACAGGTCCTGCCCTGCACCCGGACGGCCCTGGACTTTGGGTCCCAAACTTCATGCTCCCTCTGCTCTTTCCACCCCAAAAGCAAAGCCAGCTGACTCCGTAGGAAGTGACTTTTCTGACCACTTCGCCCTGGCCTTCCTGACCTACCTCACTGCATGGTCGCGGGCTCAGGGTGGGCGCTTAAGCTCCTTGTGATGATGAGCGGGGGACAAATGACCCCCAAGCTGAACCTAGCCTGTGGTCCCTGTGGACACAGAAACCACGTCTGAGGGTGGCACATGTGGGATGAGGACTGGAGTCCAGGAAGGGCTTCCGTCTCGGGGGACTGCGGAAGGGGTGGGACCAGGGCCAGGCCAGGGAGCCCTTAGCCTGGCTTCTCCCACTTTCCTGCACACCCTGATTCCAGTCTGACCTCTGACCCTCCGCTGGCCTTGGCCCCACCCCTGTCCTCAACTCCCATTGGACTCCCTGCTCTCAGCAGTGCCTCCACGTTCACTTCTCTTTTTCTACCCCAAGGGGAGGGAGAGGCCAGCGAGAGGGGAACCCCAGTGTGAGCCAGTCCTGAGAAGCGAGGGCGAGGCCGGGGAGGAAGGCAGAGGCGGGAGGCTGGGAGAGGCGGCACTGTCCGAAGCAGAGGCCGGCTGGGGGTGCAGCCTGAGGTCGCCCACTCTAACGGCCTCAGTGTGTGTCTCTCCCAGGGGCAGACTTGCTCTTTGGCCAGCCCTGTCCCATTCCCCACGCCCTCCAGCCCAGGCCGTGGCCACTCAGCTGTCCTCTCTTCCTTGGGGTTCTGAGGCCTCCCTCCACTCACTTCTTCCTTCAGTTTCTCTCTAGAACCCCAAAGCCAACCGCCCCCCCCTGCCCCCCATCCCCCCCTGGAAGCTGTGAGGGCTGTCATCCTGGTGACCCTGCTTGTCACAGAGTCAAGGCTGTTGGCCTGTCTCCCACCAGATGGGCTGGGTTGGGTCACAGACTCAGAGGAAAGGAAGGAAAGAAATGGGGGGCCTTAGAGCCCGAGGGAGCAGAGAGGGAGCAGTCAGGGCACACCCTGCGACACCCCAGGGACAGCATGGTTGTGGGCAGACCCTCGAGGCTTGGCCATGGACAAGGGGCTGTGAGAAGGAAGGGGTGTCTGCAGAGGAGGGCAGGGGAGGCTGACCAGAGGACCAGGAGCAGGGTCAGAGAGAAAGGTGGAGTTCAGAGCCCAGAGGGCACGGCGAGTGGGCTGCTACGAAGTCTGGCTTGGCTGCTCCCTACCTGTTTGTGGTGCCTTTCAGGGGACCCCTTGACAAGGCAGCTGCGGCTGAGGCGGAGGTAGCCCCCCAGAACCGAGATCTCCTCCGCAGTCGGGTACCACTTCTTCCCAGCCCCGGGGGCCGCAGCATCAGCGGGGGCAGGAGCAGCAGGGGCTGCGTGGGGCGCAGACCGACTGGGGTTGGCGGTGAAGGTGTGCCC